ACAATGTTTGTCATCCTGACATTGGATTTGCTGTATCCACCATGTSCAAATTCTCTTTGAACCCATTGGATCTTCACTTCAAATACCTGAAAGGTGTTGCTTTATACCTTTGAAGCACAAAAACRTGGGGTCTATGATACTGCAAAACTACAATACTGCATGACAATGAACTCAAAGATGGAAACTTCAACAATTCTCAAATCCCATTACCTGACAATCTTCCACCATTTCCACCATTACCTACCAATGCCACCATCACCTATGTAGTCAATACCGCATGGGCCAATATAAAGCCAAAATGAAAGTCTACCACAGAGTTTGCAATCATGTTGGCAAATGCTGCCATTGTAGTATACACATTGAAAACACAAACAAAAACCACACACAGCTCAACCAAAGCAGAATTCTATGCTGCTGTTTCTGCTGGAAAAATCGTATTGTACATHAGGTCTATTCTTTCTGACCTGGGCTTCCCTCAACAACAACCAAGGACATTGTATGAAGACAACAACTCTACAATAAAAATTGTAAACTCAGGAATTCCAACCAAATAATCACAAAACATCGACATGCCATACTTTGTAATACAAGATTGGAAATTAGACCTATATATCAAGATGCARTTCATCAGTGGTAAAATAAGCCCTGCAGATGAACTCACTAAACCTCTTGGCTGGGTCCTTCACAATTGCCATGCACGCCAACTCTTTGGGCACTTTGCTCTTGTTCCACCCAACTGATATCCTCCTTCCTCATCTTTTCTGCTATGATCTGCTCGACTTAGTACACATGACAGATCACAGGACGAGGGTGCTGTCTGTACTAGGATATCAGATTGTGGATATGATTCATATCTACAACACATACATATGACACATACCTATGATTCATACACACTCTACATTCATCACTCATTCAATCCTATGGATCCATATGATTGACTTGACTTGTTTGATTCACTTGTTGCATGGCTAGCTTGACTCATTCAATTCACACATCACTCAATCTTCATTCTGGTGGTCAATCTTAGATTTCATAGTTCGTCAATCCTCAATAAGAGCATTGACTCACTTTTCTTCTAGCACTCAATTTATATCAYTATTAGATAGTCACTCCCACAATATTATTCTGCCTTACACAGAGCAAAATGACAAAAAGTGATAATTTCCATTTCTACCATACTGGGAATTGATGTATCTCCATACTAGTAACAACAAGCAAGCCCCTGTTGACTGTGGCTGGGGAYTGGATATGTTGTCACAAAAAAAATGATCACAGCCTGTGATTGCATGCCTTTGCAACCTTTTTCTAAAATACAAGAAAACTAAACCATTTTTTTGCTGCCTGACCCTTTGCATGTATACCAAGTTGGTTGTATTTCCACCAATAGTAAACCCACCACCAGAGGTTGTGTCTGCCTGTCTATCAAATTACTAGTGGCACTAAATGCTGCTGTTGCTATTTCAGGAGTTGTGGTTCAGTTTCATTGCTGCTGGTTGATAGAGATGATTTTCCACCAGCAGTGTTTCATTGTTGCAACTACTATGATGAGATTTCTGAATCAGCATGCTATGTAGTAGTASTACTACTAGTAGGAGTTTTGACACATCACCTTTTCTATACACCAGTAGATAATGAAAAGAAAATTTATGAGACCACTACTAGTATTAGAGAAACTCATTCCAGATGGGTCCAGAGCAGCTGCTATGGGATCTAGTTAGTCAAAATATAGAGATGACTGTGGTCCTCCTGTCTCATTGTTACACAATTAACAAGAGCTGTCAGTTCTTTATGACTAGTAGTAACAGTTCTTGCAATGATCAAATTTTGCTATTTGTAGGACGAGGAGGAGAGACCAACTGGTGCTTCTTGTTGTTGGTACAAAACAATATTACTACTAGTAGTAGGCCAGCAACAAGTGCTGGTGACCACCAGCAGCACCAACGCCAAAAAATCACTCCTCTACTAGTAGAGCACTAGTACTAGTACTAGTACTACTAGTACTAGTAGTACTACTACTAGTAGTACTACTAGTAGTACTACTTGTTGTAGACCACCAGACTAAGTGCACAGTCCTACTACTAGTAGTAGTTAGCACTAGTAATACTAGTTGTTATAATTACATAGATGTCAGTGTCATTGAGAAGTCATATGCTGCATATGCTCTTCTAGAAACTTCTTTAAGAAACCAGTCTGTTGAAGAAGTTACACCTGGTGGTGGTCTAATTTCGACCGTTAATTTGTTGTCTAATTTTATGGTGATTGAACTGGTACAAGTACGCACGCCTAAAACGGGCAATGCATCGATAGGCAATGTGAGACCCCATCCTTGACCATTCGATWAAAACCAACCGTACGGGACGTACCTACGGTTCGTACGCACTATGCTATGAAGTAAAGCACGCAGAAGTACTACCGTACCATACTCTAACTTGACGATACGTTCCGTACTGCGACCCCTGCCGTACGGTCCATGCCATGGTCAAAGTTGCCTTCACCCATACTTAAGGTTTCACCAGTTTTATGGAACATAAATGAATAAAATCTTGCAATGTCAGTTAGGGACTTTTCGAAGACCAACGAAAAATAAGATGGATTGTTCTGACGACTTCTGAATAAAAATGAGATGAAAAATTTCCTTGGATCAGAGAGATAAAAACTAATCAAAATTAATACTTCTACTTGTACTAAACATTTAATGTACTTCTCAGAACATCCCACCATAGTAATCTTCGAACCCTAAAGATATAGCCCTTTCGAAGAATCCCACCAAAATCCGAACCTCTGTCGCATGCTTATTTAAATTGTACTTGCGTACGGTACGTACTTGGGTACCTTCCTAAAAAATTGTGTCAAAAAAAGTTGTCTTKTTCATTTCTGTAAATGATGGGAACAAATAGCGAGCGAATGGAAGAAAAACCATGCCGTACGTACCGATCGAAAGGCAAATTCCATACAAAATCGAAACTGTAACCCGATCAATAACATCAAATAGAGTKGCGAACTCGCGTTGTTTGTAGCTACACTTGAAACTGAAGATCCATAGCGAATTTAATTTATTATTGGCCTTACGGTGCTGTTTTCCGAAACAATGAGAAAGGGATTTCTCTGTTTCCTAGTGTTTGCACGGACTACTATCTCTATCACTTCGGTGTTGATGACCATTTTGGTTCCATCTGAATCTCAACAGGTTCAGAGGAGTCGAAAACAACAAGATACATCGTTGGTGCATCTTTGGGATATTCAAGTCCCTATCGTTACCCTGGATTCCGACAAAAACASCGTCACGCTGAACTACGGAGTTAGCGAATATATATCTTCCTTCAACAATGTCCGGGCCAACATTCTAACACCGGATTGTATCTCGGGGCTTAGCTCAAGCGACGGAATATCTATGCACGAAATTGTTGATGACGTAGAGGCTGATGGTCATCACGCGGTACAAGTCTTTCGGTTTGATCCAAAAATCATTTCTCATAACGACAAGCTTTTTGAGTACATTGACAACGGGGATAGGGGCACAGCAAGCTTTTGTCTCGAGTATACGTTGTGGAATGGACCTGAATCGGATCTCAATGCAATTAAAGTGAACTTCATGGAATCGATTTTAATAATATATTTCAACTTGACCGGCAATGTTGGTGTGGAGGGATTTTCTATTGAAGCGAAAGATAACGGACAAAACTCGGYATTCGAACTTGATAAGTACATGATATTTGCCTGGCACTGCGACCCAGTGACCAGAGAACAAGTCTGGCTGAGTATCATTCACCAAGGTGACGTAATTGCTACCTGTGTTTTTCTTGAAGAACGAGCTGTTGCTAACMAACTAATTCTCGATAGGATCGATGAATTTGTCTGGACAAAACAAGATAGTCCCAACGCGCCAATACGGAAACAGTATCTCTTCAAAGACGGAGTCCAATCCGAWCTCGCTCAAGTGCATCGGGAACCGACCATATGGATAGTGTACAGTATGTTAGGGGCTGATTATTTCAAAACGACCGGAATGGTCTATGGATCTGGATATGCCACCATGGGATTTCCTACTGAACGAGAACGAAAGCTAGAAGCCGGCAAAGGGATCGATCCAGCGCCTTCGACTTCTCGACGCAACATGAGATCAACATTACGTGTATTACAGCAGCAGCAGCAGCAAAACAACGCCCAGGTAGCCAACACAAACCCTCCTTCGGTACCATCTGATGAGTTTCGTGTTACGTTGGATATAGTTGCCGCCGATAGTGACCGTCCCAGCCTAAAAACCGCAGGCGGAAGCCAACGGTTWCCATTTCCGTTTTCTTTCCATTTTAAGCTGCTTATTGGTTGCCTTGTACTGTTATTGTATTAGCTCTCTGATGTAAACGCAGCACTAAGCGACGCTTCGAGCAGGCTATTCAGTACCACAGCATTGGAACATATACAAACAAACTTTCAATATGATTTCAAAAAGTATGGTAACTCCATTGTTATTCATACTAAGAGGACCTCTAGTCACTGAAAGGTGTTCTAGTGTCGATCTTTTTCCAGTTTGATCCTACGCTATATMCCAACAGGTGGAACGTGGGCTTGGTACAGAAAAGTCTTACATCGATAAACAATCAAATTTGCCGTTTCCATCGGAAAATTCGCGGTGTAGTAAGGTGCCTATTGATGTTAGGTATACCAAGGTAACCCGCAGCTGCCAAGCTAGAGACAACCTAATCCTTGCAAGCTCTACCACAATCATAAGAGAGAYAAAGGCAAAGTCCTGAATGCTTRTGGACAGTGCAACCAATTTAACCCCGGCCGGTCAGGTAGGAAGACAGGAAATAGAAATAGCCAGCACTAAAAGGATCAGAGATGATTGTCTGTTAGTTACAGTACGGAAGCCGAAAGTTTTAATTCTAGCTGTGGTCAAAATTTTYGATTCATTAACTCTACAGATCTCAACTACTGCAGTTATTACCGTAGGTCCTGCATTCCAATTAACAAAAGCGACATGAATTTGTTGCCCTCTCGAATTGMACTAACTTATATTTGGGAACAAGATACAGTTATTTGATAAATTGCAACATTCTCTAGCTATTGAATTGAAATTGGTTGGAGGGTATTTCAATTTGTGATTGGTGTATACCTACGTTACTTCCGCTGCGGCAATGAGCATTCAGTCAATAAATCATTGARACTTTCTTTTCTTACTGGCACGCTAAAACCTTGACGCTTTCAAACTGTGAGTGAAATATCCAAAGCGCTGCTGCTGTTATGCGACAGCCAATGTATCASTAGATGCATTTTGCAAATGTTTGTGAATAGCTTCGTCATATCTAGAGGGTCGTCAGATTTTTGTGTTTCTAGGCACACTCACAAACACGAAGAAAAGAACTTGCTATCTACCAGCTKCATTTTGGACAAAAGTATTGAGGGTTGCAGCTGGATCATTATCATTGATAATGTTTGAAAAACTCTTCTCTGAATTATTCCATTATTGATCACGGCAATCTGTATCTCGACGAGTGGTTAAAGTRTAGAAATCTTGATGCAAAAAGATCAGGACTAAAATGTTGGGCTAAACAATGAATTTGAAAGAGCGGCTATTCGACGTTGGAGATTTCCTTCACAGCAACAGATAAGTTAGACTATCCTTGGCGAACTTTCAATCTCGCAATGGTGAAGTTTTACGAGATTGGACCAACGCGAACGTGGTGTAKAAAAGGATGGTTGCTCCTCTTTTATTTTCTCCCCGCTGGTATTCGCTGTGGCATCTTGACTCATGCCATCTTGGGTCGACGATGAATCAAAATCAACCTCCCAGACTTCACAGTTTCCAAACTTGTACGTCAAGCCCAACATAGCCTTAAAGAATTGAGAGTGTCCTACCAAAGCAATCGTTTCTTCAGGCTGTTCCCCCAACCAATCTTCAAACTCGGAAATCCGCTTTAGGAAGGCATTGTAGTAAATTGGTGTCCATTCGGCGGGTGTTTTCTCTAGAAGCAAAGCCGTTTCGGCTACCTTCGATACCGTTCCTGATCTTTTTTCCTTTAATGGGCCATCTGACGAYGAAGCAGCCATGCAGCCAAGCATACCTTCACTCGTCTGACGAGCACGTTTGAGGGGTGAGTGCACCACTAGCTCGATTCCGCTCGACTCGACAAAACTCGCCTTTCGAAGCTTTTCTCCCATGTGGGCGATCTGTTTTGCACCAGTTTCGCTCACGTCCGAATCAACCTGAGCAGATACATTCAACAGTTCGATAGAGGTCGACACATCAGAAGATTTTGGCAGGGAAAACTTTTTTAAGCTTCGAAAGGTTCTACAAAAAGCAGATATTCTCCTGTTTTCTTCTGACTCGGCATGTCGAATAAGGTAGATCTTCTTGCTCTTCGGTGTATCAATCACTCCGGATGGTGTGGAGGGGGTACCGGTAGGAGGCGTTTCCGAAGGGGTAGTCATTGTCGACAAAACAAGAGACAGAGGACCAACATGCAACAGAAACTACAATTCAGTTTTGTGACATGGCATATCATAAGTACTACRTAGAAGTAAGGATGGAAATGCCATCCGCTACAATTCGACCGTTGACGATTTGCTTTTGGATTTTGGAGAAGCTGCTAGTGTTGGAGCCGAGCCGTAGGTACGGTACGTAACCGTTGAGCAGCTCAACATTTCCATGTACTAAGCTCGCGTGGTATTTTTTAGGTACAGGATTTGTTGAGTAGATCGCACCGTACAAACACTAGTTATTTTTTGCCAAAGTACATGCACCTCAACTGGTTACAAACCGCGCGGACTGAATTTTGTAACCAGAATTTTGTAACCAAACCCTTCCTTAAGGAGAGCCCATATTTTTACACGATACTACTGCTAGTCTGGTTACAAAAAAAAAGGGTCTGGTTACAAAAACAGGCGCACCAGTGCGCTTCTGTGCGCTTGTAACCAGGCAAATGCACCTCAACAGGTACAAACTAAAAAACTGTCTTCAGTACTGTAAATACGGAGTATCAGTACCAGTAGTACACAGTACGGTACAGTATCTTGAACGAGGAGTACTAAATTCAGTGAAAAACTCATCTCAATTGCTATTCCAGTACAAACTCGTGTAGAAAACACCGTAGAAATATTGATTTGCAGGGGGAAACAAGCAAAAAAAACAAGCAAAACACCAACCAGCAGAGGAACGCCGTATCGTATCAGCAACTCGTATTAGCAACTCGTATCAGCGTCCTCCGTATCAACGACTCGTATCAGCAACTCGTAGCTATCAGCGTCCTCCGTATCAGCGGCTCGCTCCTCCGTATTGTATCAGCGGCTCGCTCCTCCGTATCGTATCAGTGGCTCGCTCCTCCGTATCGTATCAGCGGCTTGCTCCTCCGTATTGTATCAGCAACTCGTATCGTATCAGCGGCTCGCTCCTCCGTATCGTATCAGCGGTTTCTCCGTACTAGTATCAGCGAGAATCCGTATCAGTAGCGAGCCTCCGTATCGTCCTCCATATCAGCGAGCGTCCTTCGGCCGCAGCAGCGCTGAGTACATGGAAAATGTTGAGCTGCTTCAACGGTTACGTAAATAACTGTGGAAGAGCTCTGCTTCAGCGCAACAAGTATCTTCAACAAGCTCTCGAGCTAAAGCTCTCGAGCTTGTTGAAGATACTTGCAGTAACGTCACTTTGGTCTCGAGCTAAAGCTCTCGGCCTCAGTGACGTTGCTGGTGTACCCAAATCGTACCAAAAAATGTACTCTGTTGAGGTCCATGTTATTTGTGTGGGAAGAGTTTTGTACTGTGCGCTCTCGAGCTAAAGCTCTCGAGCGCACAGTACAAAACTCTTCCCACACAAATAACACGGACCTCAACAGAGTACATTTTCTGGTACGATTTGGGTACACGCGCTGCGCGAGCTCCTCCACAGTTACTATACATACGGCTAAATACTAGCCTGGGTTGTTGTAGCCTTGTCTCTCTGAGGTACGACACGGTATCGTACCACGGGACACTTGGGACTTTGTGCCTCAGTGCTACCATACCTTTATTATGTTGTGTAGGTATCATATGTACATGCTAATTGTTAGTAGTAGAGTTTGATCTAAGGTTGCTGAGGAAGTTGAGATTTGACTACTACTACTACTAGGACTTCTTCGTAGATCTATAGTATACTAGGAGGTACTACTGCTACTACTACTACTACTAGTACTAGTAGTAATAGTCTCGTATTGGAATGGGCTCACAATTTTGTGATTCCAATTTGCTGACGTATTACTGTTGGTTACAAGGAATTTACTCCTGTGTTTAAGGACGGGAAAGGGGGTGAATCATCTTTGTAGTAGTATTCCATTACCTTGTTATTAGAGTCTCATCTCACCACAGTACCTAGCTGTTGCTGCAATACTTCAAGAATGAGGGCAAGGCTGTTTGTTAGTTTGGAGAGGGCAAGTAGCTCAATAGTTTTGGGTCTTGTTCATTGCCTTGCATCTGTCTGTCACTCACCACACTCTCATCACTACTATGTACTGTTGTTCCAACAGTAGTACTTAGCCTGAGTTGCTGTAGCCTTGTCTCTCCTTCTTGTTCTTCCATACCGTGCTGCTGAGGTACCATGGGACACTTGGGCCTTTGTGCCTCCTCAGTGCTACCATACCTTTATTACATTGTGCATGTGTTGGTATCATATGTACATGCTAATTGTCAGAGTTTGATCTAAGGTTACTGAAATTGAGATTTGACTACTACTAGTTAGTAGGACTTAGATCTATGCATAGGAGGTAGTAATAGTAGTAGTCTCCTATTGAAATGGATTCACAGTTTTGTGGTTCCAATTTGACKTATTACTGCTGTTGGTTGCAACAAAATCTACTCCATGGAACACCATTTGTGGTGGTAGGTCCATTTGTGTTACGCCAGCAAGCAGGAGTGTGGGTGTGTCAGCCCTACTACTATTTCCTGGAAGTCTCACTGTTGGAGCTGTTGTTGGTACTGATGTTTTGGTGGGGCAGGCGACACAGATTTTGTAGGCTGCTTTGAGGTTGAGTTTTGTGTGGTGTTTTCTTTGGGAGGGRTTGGTCTGGTGCCACATGGGGAAGATCTTGCTGCTGATCTTCATGCTGACATGATGGTCAGTGTGCTGTGACTTCAGCATGTGCCAGTGGAGGACATCTGCAATTTGGAATGCTGGAGACATCTGGTTGGCGGCGCGGCTGAGGTCCTTGGGCTTGTGGAGTGCAACATAGAGGAGGTTAGTGGGYGTGTAGTACAACATAGCCATGGTGGTATGGTGCTGGTAGCTGAGGAACTATGGGTTGTTGTTGGTGTTGGCCTGGAGTTCCAGAAGGATCAGGTTAACCATGCGGTCCACGATGGCTGGGTTCAGAAATTGATGCCAGACAAAGTGCTTGGGGATGAAAATCTGTGGGAGCAYGACATACAGCACCAGGAGCRGAGCGCTCTTGTAGCCAGGAGGGACTTTGACAACTGGGGCGTGAACTGCTATGTAGCTGTTATCAAATGCAAAGGAGGCATCCAGGCTTTTGCAGGTGGTGCAGAAGACTTTGTCCAAGCATCCAAGACACCAGAGGGCCACGGCAAGGCAATGACACAYTGGGTGGGTCAGGCTGCTGAAGTGCRACAATGGCCAATTCTGGTTAGCAACAAAGTAGTCATCATAGATGGCTTTGAATTGCCTAGCCTTCACAATGGAGTGGGCTTTGCCATGCAGGGCAGGGTRGAGGTCCTGGATGGTGGTGGGGAACACAGAATACATGGCAGTGGACAATACCCCAGCCTTGGCTCCATGTACCACCAGTTCCAGTATTTTTTACAGACCAGAAGATTCTTGTCTCGATGTTKTTGTTTCTGACATTTGCGCCAGAAAACATCAAAACCCACTGAMGCCCCCAGTATCCTAATGCCTGGAGTATATGCTACATTKCCCATTTAAAGAAGATTTCCCATCCTCAACTTTATACCCCTCTTCCACCACCAGTTTTATTTACTGACCAGAAAAAGCATTCTACAGTCATGATGTTGTTGTTGTTTCCAACATTCCTACCAGACAGCAACAGWATCGACTAATGCCCCCATTATCCAACTCAGACCTCCTTTTCCATGAAGAACAATTCCTGGAGTGTATGCTACATACTTGGTTTGAAGAAGATTCCCAGCCTCAGCTCCATGTACYAGTTCCACCAGTATAAGCTATTTACAGACCAGAAGTAGCATTTTCTGGTCAAAATGTTGTTGTGTACCACATTYGTGTTTGACAGCAATGACAACAACCCAAGCCTCCAATATCCATCCCAGACCTTTCCTTTGAAGAATAATGCCTGGAGTATATGCTCCATAGTACTTCGTACTCAGTTTCAAGATCCCCCAGCCTCAGCCCCATACACAACCAGTTCTAGTGCCAGTATCTTCATACTAGTRCACTGTGAGAAGATTACCTTCATAGACTTGCAGTGTGCTTGGCATCTGATTGTTTCCTTGTTCACTGTGTACTACTACTATGTCTTGCCTTTTGACTTGGCAGTGTACTTTAAAATGATCATGGCATGGCTCTCATCCATACTATGGACCAACACTTCTCTTTATCCTGATTCCAACAACCTTCCTTAATTGGTTTGTCAGCGTGCATCRAACCTAGTCACGCCTTCACAAAACCTCCTTGGAGGGAGTTGCCGCCCCTTGGAGCAGCTAGGAGCATACTTCTCCCTGGACAGGAGAGTGCAAGAAGTAATAGGTCTGGTCCACATAGCACTTYTTCTAGTTCACAAGGTCAAATACAATATTAAGATTTTTTTGGTGCAYACACGGATTAATCTACTGTTACATAAACCAATGAAARAATACCAATCTATYGATATACTGRAAGTCCCATCTCCTCCTCCTCCTATTACTAGTACTAGTAGTAMGTCCTAGTAAGAGCAAGAATATGGAGACAAAAGTAAAATCATTGGCTGCCTGTTTTTCTATTTTGATACAAATTCATTAAACTAAAGAAACAATACATCCAGATGGAAACTATMATAATTGCCATTGGATTCTAACTTTTCCATCAGTAGTGCTGGTGATTACTATAATTGGTGTGAGTACTAGTCAAATCAAAATTTTCAATGTGGTAAACAGAGTGAAGGCAAGTATGGGCATGAGTACATGGTTTTCCTGCAAGAAATGGGATGCTCTTTCTGACAGGAGKYGATCTCGATTCTATCGTGCATGGTAGAGACATTCACACTATTGTTCACGTAAACGACACATACTTTTGATGATCCACGATGTGATGGAAAGACATGCTACACTACGCTCGCGTTGATACTTCAAGAGTTACATTCAAAMTACTTGTCTTGGATTCAAACAAACCATTTATTGAGATAGAAAAAATCCAYGAATCCTTCGCCTATAGAGTCACGGAGCAATGGATTGCAGGAAGCGCATTTTCTTTCCAATTAGAGTCCCATTTTTTGCGTCCCATCAATTTTCGACTATATTTTGCGAGGTCTCCAAAACTATGTGGCGGCCACGACCCAGGATACTTATCCAGTGGACTCAAAAGAACGAGTAGCTGGTCATGCAAGTCGGAAATGGAATTGAATATTTTGCCATTTACATCGTCCTCGACTAGTTCCTTAAGGCATGGAAARTTAAAAGCGCATACCGGAACTTCGCAGCCAAAATTATCCAAGATTTTCATTGGGAGATCGATCCCACTGGTGGACGTATGAAGCGAAATCCCTACATCAGCGCAAGCCAGTAGTCGCGGATAGTCAGCAGGTTCTAGCCAAAGTGTCACTATAGCAACGTGTTTGAATTTGAGCATCGAGATTTCTTTCTGATAAAATCCTTTCAGTGGCCCTTTTCCAGTTACTACAACTACCACCTTGAGTGACGATTTTAATTCAGTTAAGGTCCCGTCGAGTCGTTCCAGCGCCTTCAACAGAACTCCAAAGTCTTCGTCCGGCGTCCATGACGTTGAGCTAGTGATAAGCGCAGGCCGACCACTTCGGGGACCATATTCATCGAATTCGTTTGTTCCAACTTTCAAGTTYTTTTCTGTGAAAAGCGTCTGATAACWTGGGTCTAAATGCTGATACCAAGATCGTGGGCATCCAGCACAAACCTTCCCGTGAATCTTTGTCATTAATGCATGGTTATCCTTCGCGGAGCGAGGATAAAACATAGAACTGGGGCAATCGTGCACCACATAAATTTTGGAAGCGTTTATTCTGAATTGTTTTTCAATGAATGTTTTCATGGCATCGGTTACGCACAAGTGAGATGTTGCCAATGGTGCCATAAGTTGTTCATAAAATCKTGCTATGGTGGCGAAAATCATGCTGCTTTTAGCCAACACTGCAACAGCATTAATCGAGAAAGAAAGCGTTTATGAAATAACATCATGTACCAAATATATTAGAGCGAAACAATTCCTTCTCTGAAACTCTGATAAAATAAGCTGCATCGTACTATTGCTACTTACTTGTAAATCCCTTTCGTATACAATTTTTCAAATCGTTTTTAGCATGAAGTACATCGAAACTTGAGTCTTTCGATGATAGTATATATACAGCACAAAYAAAAGGAAAAGAATATTTTGGGCTTACCAGGTTGTGCCAATCGATAATGAACGCTGGCCTGTATCCCCTCAACATTGACATGAGACTGCAGTACAAATAWACGACTACAAGGAGGGGCATTGCAGGTGGATTCTGAACCAATACTCCATCGACACGTTTCATCTTGGAAAATCCCTTTGGCACAGAGACTGTGAGGGCGTACAATAGATAAAAACAGAGGCTCAGAATTCGCCAAAAAAGATAAATCGGTAGTATTTTCTTCATAATGCTAGGCGAGGGGACAGAAAATCGGACCACATTCAATCTATCATCCGTGCTTTCTTGCAATTCAGGAATTAACTCCTGGCGTTGTATTCCGCGTAGAAAAATGCAGCACAAATCAAATCAGTAACGTTACATCAATATTGTTGATTTCGAGAACAATATAGCTTACGAATTCTCACCTCTCCAGTGTATCCAACTAGCGAGACAGTATGGCCTTCTCTCAGAAGTGAGTTAGCATGATATTGCATTCGCGGAGACCTTCCCAAGTCCCCGAGAACAACGACAATGATATGAAGTGAACGCTTCGTCGTTTGTCTACTATCCTCCATGACTCCGAATTTCTTGAGGTTTATGATGCTTTGSAAAATACTCTGTTGTGTTGTCTGGATTGCGATGAAAGATAAAATTCCACAACCTATTGGGAGCTCCGTGAACGTCTCTCAATCATGACCCCTGCTCTCAATGCTACGGTACGTATTCATGCTCGAATCTTTGACGCTGCATTTACTAAGTGATTTTTTTGCGACCTTTTCATAACCATGTTTTTTTTAGATTTAGATTTAGATTTAGATTGGTCTGCTTCGGGGCAGTGGAAGTCGAAGTGCGGGTACGAGTACGTACGTACCAAGGACACCTGTTCAAAACGCCCGTTTTCGACATTTTATAATCTAGAGTTAGGGATAATAATAATATCATTTACTACTACTACTACTACTACTACTACTACTACTACTACTACTACTACTACTACTACTACTACTACTACGTTGCTGATCAATTGAAACTACGTTTCACAGGGCGTTCCCAATGTTAATTTAACATTCATTATTATGTCACTATGTGGATACTACT